CCAAGGTCCCCTTCTCCCTCCCAGAAAAAGTCTATGTTACCCCTTTTTAAATAAACCCTACTTTATGTTCTTGCCTCAGCGTGCTTCTCTAATGTTATACTTCAACATGTGAGGGAGCAGGACTCCTCACTGGTAACTGTGAGGAGGGAAATTAGGTCATTGGAGGTCTTCTCTTGAAGCAGATGTTGGCCCCTGCCCCTTTCTTTCTCTATTTCCCAGCTGCCCTGAGGTGAGCAGCTCTTTTTCACCACAGGCTCCCCACTGTGATGTTCTGCCTAACCACAGGACCTAACCAACGGAGCCAACTGACCACGGACTAAAAACCCTAAAACTGTTAAGCCAAATAAATCTTTCCTCCTTCTACATTGATTATCTCAGGTATTTTGTTGCAGGAAGGGAATGCTAGTAAACAAAATGATTATTACTCATTCAACCAACTTGATAAAATCAGCCTAAAGCAGTGATGACAACCTTCCTGTCGGTTTGGCTCTTTATGGGCAGACGTATTTAGGGACTTGCAATGCATACCTGCTGTAGGACTTCTAATGCATACCTGAAGTCATGCCCCATCCTTGCAAACCTTCACAGCGTTACAGGAAAGCAAGCTCATTCTAGTCTGGTGGTCACATGAAGTCACATCTGCCCACAGGTGCCATTAGTGAGCCCAACTGAACCCAGCCCACATCTATGAGATAAATTAATAGTTGTGACTGTTGTATAAAGCCACTAAATTGAGAAACAGTTTATTATGAAGCAAAAGTCAATGGTATCTTTGGGATACCCTCTATATGAAACGCTTTTATGTAAAGTGTTACACATAGCTTAAGGAAATCCTGTCCAATTCCATTTCTTCATAAAATTCCATCCTAATAATTTTCAGAGTTAAAGAAATAATTATGGATACATAAAGGGTTTCAAAACTGTTCCATGATGCACCACATTTAATATTGTTCGAAATCATAGCTAGAATACTTGATTTCAGGTAAAGTGTGTAGATATTTGGTTGAATTGTTCAGATTCTTTTTTACTAAAAAAATTTTCACTTTTTGGACAAATTGTTTTTAGTTTAAAAATAACTGCAGACAATCCAGATGTATGTTGATGGCAAACTATAATCAATTACTTGGAGAAGTTTTATTTAAATGACCTAGGATGCTGTTGTAATGGGCCAAAGGTGTGACTTATGCAGTCCAGGGGGAGAAATAAAGAATCTGCCCTTTTCAATGCTTTATTCATTCAAATCACTCAATAATACAATTTCACTCTATAGGTTCTTAATCAAGAAAACGTCAATCCTTAATGCTAGGCCTGCAATAGACATAATTCACAGCAAACAATTCTAGATTAATTAATTCACAACAAACAATTCTAGATTAATTCTAAGCACTGCAAACACACTTAATCATGACAGGCTAATGACAGACATTCCCTCTGCATGCTAAGTTCAAGTGTCAGTTCAAAAGTTTCAAGCCTTAGGCTTTAAGTCCAGTAGATGCACACTCACTCAGACTGCAGTGATGAGGTCAGGAACTAAGGCAGGCTTCTCCTGGGGTGGAGCTGACAGCCAGTGGAGGAGAGGGTTGTAGGGAGAAGTTATGGCTCTCACTAGGGTTAAGATGTGGCTGTAGAGTTTGAGAACAATGAGGAAGATGCAGAGGATCAGCAAAGGATGCCAAGTATTGAGAAACTGATGTGACTCCATTTTTGAGAAACCAGCCTCTACCTCAAAGCAAAGCCTGTCCAAGGAAAGGGGTGTGACCCTTGTCCTTGGAAAAACCCACAGAGCATTCCTAGGCACATACCCACCCTGCTGAGTTGTTTGTTTGCAAATAACAAGAGAGATCTGTGATGCCAGGTGTCCCTGACTCAACATGTCCCTGACTCAGTTAGGCTAGGTGAGGACCCATAGGGACCCCCTAGCAACCACCAATCAGCATGAGATAGGAAATACCTGAGATGCCAGATGACCCTCCCAGTAATTTAAGTTGGTTGATAACACTTGGGAAACCATGTAGTTTAGCACTACACCCCTCATAGCCTAAACCTATCAGTTCAAAGGAATTCCCCTCTTGTACTAACCAATCACTCCTACCCAACTTGTTCCCACCAGTGAATTTGCTAATCAACATTGTTGTTTGACTTTCCAGCAGAGGTATGGAATGATTTGCTGTGTGATGTTGTGACGCATAGAGTATCCCTCCAAAACTATAAAATCTCACTGAACAAAGGACCAGGACTCACTCCCTGGGACCGCTGCATCTGAAATGGTTGTGAGTCCAGGCTCAAGCTTGCAATAAAGACTCTTGTGTGATTGCATCAGATTCGGCTCCTGGAGAGGAATCTCATTCGTGGCTCCTATTGGGGTCCCAGGAATCTGGCATGACAGTATTGAGATGTCAGTCCAGGTCCTCATCAGGCTCTCAGTGTGAGGGCATCAGTAACGGCTGGCTGAATGTATGTTCATTTGCTCTATTATTTATACTAACTTTTGGGGTTGGGAGCTTTTGACTCCCCTTCCAATCCTTATCAGTTGCCGGGATTTCTCAGTTATGTCATTTACTGAGATTTCATTTATGTCATTTACTGGGGTTAAAACGTCTGGTCTGGTGATCCCTGCCCTGATCTTTTCATCTTTTCCTCTTATTGGGTGAGGACAGCCTATTAGAAGCTTCACAGAGTTTATCAGAGTGGGGAGAAGTGACTAGTTTGTTCCTGAGAGTCATACTGGAGGGCTCTGTTAGGCATGCTTGGTGAGATTGCAGGTTTCAAACTGGAGTTGGAGTTGCTTAGACTGAGGCCTAAGGCCATCCCCACAGATGACTCTTCAGCATCCGGGAGTTTTTATACCTTTGGTGATTTCAATGTTCAGCCAAAGTTGAGAACACTGAACAAAAGGGTCCTCTACAAAGGTGTTACAGAACTTTTTAATAGAAGGTAAAGGTTGCTGGATGTTGAGAGAATTTTCATTCCATTTTGAATTTGTACTAAGTTAAAGAAGAATAAAAGAAAATCATTTTTTGTATTTCTCTTATTTGAACCTACTATCAATTCTCAAAGGTAGGTAGGATACACATTATTATCCCTATTCAGCAAATGAAACAACAGGGTTTTAAGGACTTTGCAGTATTGGGGGATGCATTCAAACCACTTCTTGCTATACTTTTCTCTTGGAACTTATACACTATAACCTATGTTAAATGTTTGTTTAAATACCTATCATGCAGGGGTTCTGACCCAGAAAACAGATTTGCAGTCAGCAAGTGGAAGAAGATGCAAGACTCAGTTAGGATAGTAGACATGCTTTATTCAGAGGTGGTAACAGCCTCCAGCCTCCAGATTCAGCTTAGCCCCCCAGCCAGTTCCATTTTAGCTCTAGTTTTGCCCCCATCAGCACCTGAGTCTTTTTCATAGACGCTTTTTATATGCAGGCCAAACAAATAAGACATACTGCCAACAGGTTACATAAGGGGGCGTATGCTCACAAATTAATGTTTATGACCTTGAGTATATGCACTAAATCACCCTGTTTCTGGCCTTGACTAACCATAACATATTTGATTTTCAGCCCTGGCTACACACTAACAACAACATAGCCCATCAGAAGTTTCTTTGAGGGAGCCTAACCACAGCCATTTGGGGCCTGCCCCAACAATCCCATTTTCATTTGGGCTCTGAACCCTTTATCAGTAGTTATATAATTTATTAATTCATTCATACATTATTCATTTAGGATGCATTGGTTATTTTGGGGGGAAGGAAGAGTTGGTTTTGGGGGGCTTCTCTGGAGAACAAGACTAACCTCATGGTGTTTCCCCCAGTGAAACAGGAATCTAGTGATGCATCAGGCAAGTAGCCAGTTATAACAAATTCAACATAAAAACAAGCTCATGGTGGTGGTGGTGGTGGTGACAAACAGATGGAGAACTACTTAATCCTTAAGGAGAAAAGAGGGAGATAAGGAGGTAGAGAATTATTTGCAGAGGAAGAGAATATAAAATCTAAACTAAACATTGACAGAAATAGAATTTACCCACGTGAGAAACTACTAGGTGGAAGAAATGGCTGAAGAATGGAAGGAGGGAGGGAGTGGGGAGAGGGAGAGAGTTGAAAGTGGCTCAATAAGCAGGGATGGCAAGCAGATATTGTTAACATAGGGAAAGCAATGAATGATAGTGAGGAAAACAGCTAGGGGAAAATAATAAAATGGCCTAGTAATTCATTAGCTCTGTTAAGGAAGTCTGCATTAGCCTAGGGAAAACCAGGAGCCTACCTAGGGCTTTAAAAAGGGCACATCATCACCATAGTTGTTTCACAGACTAGGCTGTTTCTGGTATGCTTTTGATCATCAAGTTGACCTTCCATAGGCAGGAAAGGAGTTTTGTAGTTTTGACAGCGTGAACACAGAGCTGTAAAAATACAGCTGTGGTTTTTACTTTGGGTTGATTTGATGTGTGGGCACACAAGAGAGACCCCAAGATCATAGCTGGGCTTGGATACCTGGAAAAGTGGGAGATTTTCTAATTAAGTGATTTGCTGAACGAGAGGTAAAGTTGGATTGGAGAGAGAATGTGAGTTCTTGTTCAGATACTGCGTTTGAGGCCTGAGAGCTTCTGTGTAAGACTGGGTTCACTGCATAAAATCTACTCTATTATATTTTTTGATATATTATTGAATAGTTTAAGCTTGAAACCTCCTACCCAAACATGTTATTACTGCAAATGATCAAAGTGGGCAGTCCCATTAATCTATATACTAAATCCATTGAGGAGTTTGTGGAAACACATTTGCCTGCCTTAGGAAAAAAGAGAAAACTTGACGCATGCTCTCTACAGACAACCACAGGCTCCAGGCTTTCTCCTCCAAGTGAGAGGATTTAGGAAAAACATAAAAGGTTTCCCCCTGCTGGTCAGACCTGCATAGTGCAGCGAACGGAGATACAAGTTGTAGGGGCGTGGTAGCTGGTGGATGACGCAGAAACCCAGAGTCGGAGGAAAGGCGGTTGTGCTAGCGTCAGTGGTAAGCGCCGGGAGAGACCTAACCTGTCGCATGGCTGCTGGTTGCTCAGAGTCTCCGCGGCCGAAGGCGGCCTCCGAGGCGCCTGTGGTAGGAACAGGCGGCGTCCTGCCTTGCCTAGAGCTGCCCACCTATGCTGCTGCTTGTGCTCTGGTGAACAGCCGCTACTCCTGTCTGGTGGCCGCGCCGCACCGACGGCACATCGCCCTGTCGCCCCGCTACCTTAACCGGAAACGCACCGGTATCCGAGAGCAGCTGGATGCCGAGCTCCTGCGCTATTCCGAGAGGTACGGGTCTGTGTGCCTTGTCCTTCTCCCAGCCAGCAACGCCGTAACGTAGATGGCAGCCCCTTCTTTTGGGCGTGGGGAGGGCATGCTACAGAAAGGTAGAGGAGTGGGAAAGGTCGCACCGGCCACCCCAACCCGAGCGTAGTCCGGAGGTGTTCTAGAGTTGTGGTCCGCCCAGCGAGGCCTCTACCGACCGGGTCGGGATCTCTGCCAGGTCCTTCCATGAACAGTAAAGAAAACTTACAGGTGAACTGTCGACCGAGGGAGTGGAGATGAGAATAACCAGGTGTCTGGAGACCCAGTATACGGAGTTTTCTTTGACGTTGAACGTTTCATTTCCCACCTCCGGGGGTAATGTTTTCTCATTTGACAATGAACAGTTCGTATTAGTACTTGAGTAGATTCTCTCTCTTAACTTGTAAGATCACATAAGCATTTGTACAAACAACAGTTTCTCTGTAAAACACGATGATCGGTTTTTGTTTGTTTTGGATCTGGTGCTTTCCCGCGATTCTCTTCTTTACCTGATTGGGAATGAGGGAAATACCATTTGTTTATTACTCCATTCCTAGAAATTTAACATATATTGAAACCATGCAAAGATGTTGATACATTTATTTTTAAAGTTAGATTATGTGCCCATCTATTTATAAACAAGTTCATCTCTTTACTCAAAAGTAATGCAGAGCTAAGGATATTTCATCATTGTATAGGGCTGTCATGTGCATAACAGACTTTCTCCCTGTCCTCTTTATTTATTTATTTATTTTTGTAGTGTTTGTAACAAACATGAATAGTACCAGAAATTCCCAAGTTCCTTTTAGAGAACAGCAGTACTGTCTCCACTTGAACATCATTCTATAGTAGAGAGAGGAGGCTTTGATTAAAGGAAACAAGGTTCTAAATTATTTTTTCCTGTCAGTTTTGGCAATTTTTCTTTCCTTCCTGCTATTTTCAGTGACTGTAAGATAGTCTGAGTTGATAATAGTTGGTTCCTTCTGAGGAAAGCTACATGCATAAAGTAATAACTAAAAAGAGCATTCCTGAGGAAATTTCTAAGTTTGATTTTGCTAATTTGGTAGTTACTATAGTTCCTTTCTTGGGAGTTGTGGCTATTTTACTAAAATCAAATCTATTAGGGATAAATTCTTTTCTCTTATTCTATGTAAATCATGCTGGAATTTGTCTCCCACAAAAAAAAAAAAAAAGCCTTTCTGCTGTCTACCGCTTGTGTGTGTGAAATTCAAACATGTACAGATAGATTCAATAAAAGTAGAACAGTGATAAATTTGTACATGGAATAGAAGAGTGATTTCAGGTTTGCCTTGGAAAGTTAGGGAAGTTTCCTCTAAGTAGTGGGTATGGTAGTAAAAGCTGCCAGGTTTTTATCCTTCATAGGTTAGAAATGATATTTTGAAATAATAGTTGCCAACTAATCCGGATTTTAAAATGTGCACGGAGTGTCAAAAGTCAATTCTTAATAAATGATGTAGTTGTATGTCTTAAAATTTCCTTTTACTAGCAACAGTTGCAGTTTGAGATTTTTTTTTTTTTTTGTATTAAGTTACTGGTTGTAGTATTCAGGGGCTTCAGCTTTAACCCTTAGGTTTCCTTGTATTCCAAGTGCAGATGGAGAGTATCAATATCAATATTACCTGTACTCAGTAATAAAAAATGCATACACATTTTTCTTGTCAATTTCTATTTTAACTTAGCCAGCACATTGGAACCTTTTGGTGAAGTGGAACTGCTAAAAAGTTGTTATAGACTAAGCATATACTGTTACAGTTTTGACATAGGTTATATATTTGGGAGATGAATACTTTTCGGATTCTTAGACTATCTAATCAGTATCATAATGACCTAGTTTAAAAACAGGATAAAAGACATCATCTTCTTCTCTTTTTTAAACAGTCTTTTAGGTGTCCCTATTGCATATGATAACATCAAAGTTGTGGGTGAACTGGGAGATATATATGATGATCAAGGACACATTCATCTTAACATTGAAGCTGATTTTGTTATTTTCAGCCCTGAACCTGGGCAAAAACTTATGGTATGTATATCATTTTTTCTTAGCTTTCTTGAAATAATTTTATACTTTGAGAAACTTTAAAGAGATTTCAATATTTCGAATAAATAAAAAGTATTTTAAAAGTAAAATACTTTCTATCATTTCAATCGAGGTAAGTTTGTAGACTCCATCCTTTTGAAACACATGGGTGCAAAGTATGTGACCTATCCAATTGATATATATATATATTTTTTTTTGCAAAGTCCTTATGATAATCTTGAGGAGGGAAAAAGCAGTACTTTGAAATTCCTCAATTCTACCCTTATATCTTGTTTTTATAAAGGATTCAAGCAGTATACTTTCATAAGAAACAGACATTCATATGGCTGTGGGGTCAAGCAAGTAATAAAAATGAATGAATAACAGGACAGGACAGCCAGTCCATGCCAAGAAAGTGAAGGCTATGTGTAGAAGATCTTCCAATTTTCTAGAAGGTAGAAATGGAGAAATGGATGTAAAATCTATTGAAATGTATCTTTTATCCCTTTTACTTGCTCTTCCACCATCAGATCTGTTTGTGTATATGTGTTGGTTTATGTATATTTATATTCGTATATCTATATATCTAGTAGATAAGAATTGTTAACTAACCATCAGTACTGTTAATAAAAATACAGATCAGATTTCATTATGACAGAATTCACAAGATATCTTTTTTCTCTTACTGTGTTCTTGGTCTCTGGATCTTACCATGTATGTTTTTCCTCTATTCATTTCCACTGCTGTCACAATTAGTCACCTCAGTATGTAGCTATACACCTGTTGCTTTGGTTCCTTTTTGGAAGAGCAGGTGAGTGCTAGCAGGTGCCTCGGATGGGCCATCTTGAAGAGCCCTTCACTTTTACCATTTCTATTCAGCATTGTACTGGAGGTTTTTGCAGGGATGAGATGTTGGGGAAGAATAGAGAATCACAAGGAATAGTAAACCTCCTATTCCTCAGTTGTACACATAGAGCAACTCTCCTGTTGTAACTCTGTTCCTCCCCTCTTTGTTTTGGGATTCTGGTGGGTGCTTTGGACACTGCTATTTTGGGATAGCAGAGCCTAGTATGGAAGACCAGAGAAGGGAACTGCGAGAAGAGAAAATGCCTTTGCCTATTTTTAATTGGATTTTTCTGTTTTTATTGAGTTGTAGTTCTTTTTAGTATTGATAAATTTTTTTTCAGACCTTTGTTCTCTGTTGATGTGCGTATTTATTCATTTTAATGGTACCATTTGATGAACAGAAGCACTTAATTTTGATGAGGTCCATTTTATACTTTTGTGGTTATTGCTTCTGGATCTTACAAAGAAACCTACCCATTTCTAATTTGTGAAAATATTCTTTTAAAAACTCTGGAAGCTTTGTAATTTTAGCTTTGATAGTTAGCTCTGTGATCAGTTTCTTATGCTTTTCTTTCTATGTAGTGTGAAATAGGTCTTGAAATCTATTTTCTTCCTCCTGTGGCTGTTCAGTTGTTCCAGACTTATATTTAAAATGTTTCCTTTTTTAAATTGATAGAATATATTTTTTCAGCCTTACAGAGCAATTGAGTGGATGCAGAGTTTTCATATATTCCCTGCCTCTCAAGCAGGCAGTTTCCCCTATTATTGAAATCATCTTGCAGTAGTGAAATGTGTGTTATAATTGTTTATTAGCCAGTATTGACACACTATTACTAACTGAAGTTCCCAGACTTTGTATTATTTAAACTTATAAAAAAACATAAAAGTCACATATTAATGGTGCCGTAATATTCGATGCTTGAATACATTGCATGATGTAAATGCATAAATCGAATTAAACATACTTATCTCCTCATTTATTATCTTTGCAGTAAAAACTTCCAAAATCCTTTCTAACCATATGAAATACACAAAACATTATCTATAATCAAAATACTATGCAGTCTTACCCCAGAGCATCTTGCTCCTATCTAACTGTATCTAAATACCAATTGATTAACCTCTGATAACTGCATTCTACTCTCAACTTCTGTGAGATCACCTTTTTTAGATTTCATTTGATGTCTCCGTACTTTTATTTAACATGTTGATTTCCAGTTCCATCCATATTGTCCTAAATGACAGGATGTCATTGTTTTGCCTGAATAGTATTCCATTGTGTACACATTGAAATATTGTGTTTCTTTGTCCATTCCTTCACTGATGGACACTTGTTTTCCATTTCTTGTCTGTTGTGAATAGTGCTGCAATGAACATAAGTGTGCATTTGTCTCTTCTGCATACAGATTTTATTCTCTTTGGGTTTATACCCAGCAATGAGATTGTTGTATCATGTGGTAGTTGTTCTGCTTACTGTTTTTGAGGACACTTCATACTGTTTTCCATAGTGGATATACTAATTTACATTTGCACCAACATTATGCAAGGCATCTTTCTCCACATCCTCTCCATCACTAATTAGTATTTGATACTAAGTCTTCATATTAGGGTGAGGTGATATCTCAGTGTTGTTTTGGTTTGAATTATATGATGATTGGTAATGTTGAACTTTTTTTTTTTTTTTTAATGTACCCATTGGCAGATTGTAGGTCCTCCTTTGAGAAATGTTTTTAGATTATTGCCCATTTTTAAAGTGAGCTATTTGGTTTCTTGCTATTGAGGTTTTGGATTTACTTATATAGTCTGGGAGATGTATACAGTGCAAATATTTTCTCCCACTTTGTAGGACTCTTGAGTGCTATGCAGAAGCCTTTTAGTTTTATGTAATCCCATTTGCCTCTTTTAACTTTTATTTTCTGTTCTTTGGGAGGTATTCATGATCCAATGTCCTGAGCATTTCCTCTTTTCTAGTAGTTTGAATAATTTTGCTTACATTTAATTCTTTAATCTATTTTGACTTGATCTTTTTAACCAATGATAGATGTCTAGCTTCATTTTTTTTTTTTTACCTAATTTTCCTAATATCATTTATTGAAAAGCCTGTCCTTTCTCCAGTGCATGTTCTTAGCACTTTTGTTTAAAAATCAATTGGCTGGTATGTTCATGGGTTTGCTTCTAGGGTACATTTTGTTCCATTAGTCTATTTTTATGCCAATACCATAACATTTTGATTATTATAGATTTGTAGTAAGTTTTGAAATTAGGTAGTGTAACGTTTCCTGTTTTCTTTTTACTCAGGATGTCTTTGACGATTTGAGGAAATTTGTGGTTTCATATAAATTTTAGAGTTGTTTGTTCTAGTTCTGTGATGAGTGCCATTGTTATTTGATACATAATACATTGAGTCTGTTAATCACTTTGGGTACTGGACATTTGTTAAAATTATTAATTCTTCTGTGAACAAAGGATGTCTTTCTGCTTCTTAAATTTCATTCATTAATATTTTATAATTTTCATTGTGCAGGTCTTTCAACTCTTTAGTTGTTTTATTTACCTCTTGGTAACTATTGTAAGTGGCATTGCTTACTTGATTTCTGTTTAGATAATTCGATATGAGCATATAACAATGTTACTCCTTTTTTGTATGTTGATTTTCTGCCCTACATTTTTGATGTGAATTCGTTTAAAAAATTCTAGAGGGTTTTTTTGTGTTGTGTGCAGTTTGGGGGAGTTTTTATATAAGTATGTCATCTGCAGTTACAATTTGAATGACTTCATTTTCAAATTGGATGCCCCCCCCCTTTTTTTTTTCTTTCTCATGGCCTAATCAGATTACTAGGACTTCCAGCACTGTATTGAATAAAAGTGGTGAAAGTGAGCATTCTTACCTTGTTCCAGATTTTAGGGAGAAAATTTTCAGTTTCTATCACATTAAGGATGTTAGCTGTTGACCTATTATAAATGGTATGGTGATATTCCTTATCTTTCTCATTTTTTCAGCATTTTTATTATGAAGATATATGGAATTTTGTTGAATGTCTTTTCTCTGATATATCAAGTGTGATGACCATGTGGTTTTTGTCCTTCATTTTGTTATGATATATCACATCTATCAATTTGCATACATTGAACCATTCTTGCATCCCTAATAAATCCCATTTGATCATAGTAACTAATCTTTTTAATGTTGCTTGTAATGGTTTGCTAGTATTATGCTGAAAATTTTTGTATCTGTGTCCATCAAGGATATTGGCCCTTAGATTTTTTGTGTGGCCCCTCATCCAGTTTTGGTATCAGCATTAAACCTCATTTAATGTTCTTAGAAGAATTCCTTTCTCTTCTATATTTTGGAGTAACTTATTCAGCAGTGAAGCCATGTGATCTTGGGCTTTTCTTTGATGGGAAGTTTTTTACTGATTGAATCTCACTGCCTGCTACTGATCCATTTAGGTTTCCTGTTTATATTATTTTTCGTAATTCAGTCTTAGAAATGTGTATGTGTCTAGGAATTTATCCATTTCTTCTTAATTTATGAAATTTGTTGACATAGTTGTTCATAATAATCCCTAATCTTTTGTATTTCTTTGGTATAAATCATAATGGGTCCCTTTTCATCTGATTTTTTTTTTAAGAGAGAGAATTTTAATATTTATGTTTTAGTTTTCGGCAGACACAACATCTTTGTTTGTATGTGGTGCTGAGGATTAAACCCAGGCCGCACACACGCTTGAGCCACATCCCCAGCCCTCATCTGATTTTATTTATATGCATTTTCTTTACCTTTTCTAGTTCTAGGTTTGTGTATTTTGGTTGCCTTTTCAAAGAACTAGCTCTGTTTCCTTTATCTTTTGGTTTTTTTGTTTTGGTCTCTTACATTTATTTCTATTCTATTATTTCTTTTCTTCTAATTTTGGGTTTAGTTATTTCTCCTCTTCCTTTTTAATGCAATAGACTGTCTGAGATTTTTATGCCTTTTTAATGTGGGTGATGGTTGCCATAACATCTCTCTTGATACTGGTTCTGCTTATTTCCATAGGTTTTGGTCTGTTTGTCTAATTTCTTTTCATTTCAAGAAATTTTAAAATTTCCTGGATTTCTTACTTGATCCATTGGTTATTTTATATCCATGCATTTGTATATTTTCTAAAGCTTATTGTTAATTTCTAGCTTTATTGCTTTCTTGTAAGAAAAGATACTCAGATGTTTCAATTTTTTAAAAATTGAGTCTTGCTTTGTGATCTATTATAATCTATCCTGGAGAAAGTTTGATGAGAAAAACTTATTCAGCAGCTGTTAAATGGATATGTTCTATAGATGTCTGTTAGATCCATTTAGTCTAGGATACAGTGTAACTGATGTTTATTTTTCTGTAAGGATTGTCTGTTCATTACTGAAAGTGTGGTATTAAAAGTCCCCAACAATTCTTGGAGTATACTTTTGCCTTTAGGTATATTAATACTTGCATCATATATTTGGGTGTTCTGATAGTGGGTGTGTATGTAATACATTTAGAATTATTATTTCTTCTGTTTGAATTGACCCCTTAATCATTATACAGTGACTTTTCTTGTCTTTATTGTTTTTGATTTAAAGTCATTTTATTGGATATTAGTATGGCTACTTTGGGGGGGCTCCATTTGTATGGGTATCTTCCATCTTTTCACTTTTTGTGTGTCCTTAGAATTGAAGTGAATGTGTTATAAATAGCATACAATTGGCAATTTTATTTTTTAACCTCCTCACTCTTTTAATTGGGGAATGGAATTCATTTACATTTAAGGTAATTTTTGGTAGGTAATGTCTTATTAAAAGCTATTATATGCCTTATTTTCTACTTTTGTCATAGTTTCTTCTCATAGTCTTGCTTGGTGGTTAAATGAATTAGTTTAGTAGTGTGTTTGGATTCCTTGCTTAGTCTGTTAAATTTTTGTTTTGTGTTACCATGAGGCTGATTAAAAAAAAATCTTGCTTATATCAAGCTATTTTGAAATGATAGCAACTTAATGTGATAGTAAGGATGAGAAACAAAAGAATAAGATATAAGAACACAGTCCAGTTGAATTCTATCCAATCTTTCTGTATGGCCTGTTACTTAAACTAGTTATTTTTTTAATCTGTGTACTAAAGAATGGTTTATACATTATTCTATATTTATTTATTGTATATTATTGTGTATTTATTCTCATAAAAAAACTGTTTTTTCAATATCTCTTTCAATTTGAAGAACTTGAACATTTATTTTAGAACAGTTCTGGTGGAGATATTTTGTTTCAAATTTTGTTTGGAAAAGTGAGTCCTTCACTTCTGAAGGGTACCTTTGCTGGGTATATACTATTCTTGGTTGACAGTTTTTTGTTCTTTTTGTTCTCCTTCAGTTTAGTGAAAATCATGGGCCAGTCTTCTAGCCTATAAGGTTTCTGCTCAGAAGTGTTCTGTCAAATTGCCGTATCCCTGTGATAGGCATTTTCTCTTGCAGCCTTGAGAATCTTTCTGTTTCTGATCTATGATAGTTGGGTTGATTATAATATATTTGGGGGTAGACTTATTCAGTTAGACTTACTGAGTTAAATCTGAATAATAACCTTTGACCTTCCTATACCTGGATGTTGTTTATCCTTTTCTAGGTTTGGGAAGTTTTCAATGAAAGATGGGTAGTCTAGATAGCAAGGTTGGTGCTAAGCTCTGTCACCAGAGTCTCACAGCCATGGGATTCTTCAGTCTTTAGAGGTAGGTAGGTATTCTCAAAGTCCACTATGAGGCTGAAGTGGCTGAAATTTGGGTCTGTCCCACTGGCACACAGATCTCTGCCTGATGTGAGGGCTGGCTTAGGGGCTTTATGAGCTTTGCCTGTGAACAGAGTCTTCAGTTGCTACTTCAGTGGACCAGTGGTGATGCTTGCTAGAAATTTGATAAATGGGGACCACATGTCTTCCCCTGGCACTGGACCTCTTACGGAACTGCGTCTGAAACTGGACTCTGAGAGAAAGCCTTGTGCCAGCTTTTCTGCCCAGCTTCCCACTGTGCTATCTAAGTTTGGATGTTAGGGGTGAGGCAGTCTCTTTGCCACCAGCCTAAGGCACTTCCAGTAGCTCAGTCCACAGGTGTTGGCCTGGCTGTAGGGGTCATGGGGCTTTGCCAGCACTGGGTTTCAACTAAGACTTGAACTTAATTCTCCCCCCTTTCCCACTGGGAGGCTTCTCTCATACAACTCTTAACTTCCTACCTTCTTCAATATATTTTTTGTTATACTAAAAGCAGGCACTATGGTTGCCTGATTTCCCTAGCTCTTGTGAACTTAGTTTGATTCAGAAACAGCTTTTCAGCTTGGTTCATGTATGGAGAGAAATTGCCAGAGGATCTTACTCTGCTCTCCAATAAAGTCTGTAGAGTTCACTTTTTATGTTGTACAAACCATAAATTTTGCCAAATGTATCTTGGTATATATTTGGTATCATACAGGGTAGTTTCACTGCCCTAGAAATCCTGTGCTTCACTTGTTTACCTCTCCCATCCTCCCATCTACTATTCCCCAGAAACCACTGTCTCATTGCCTTTCCGAGAGTGTCATATATTTGGAATCACAATTTTCAAAATGACTTCTTCATTTAGCAACATGCATGTAAGTTTCCTCTCCATTTTTTCACTTGATAGCTCATTGCTTTTCATTGCTGAATAATATTCTAAGGGGTGATGGCCAGCATCTCATTGGGGGGGGGTTGTTGTTCTTGCCAAGGAGGGTATAAGCCACCTCAGAAATTAAAGTCTAGAATAATTAGTGAAGAACAAAAGACAAAGAGTTAGAAATTTATTTTCATAAATGTAGCCCCTGATAGGTTTAGTCCACATGGAGGGGAGCTGGAACTCAACGAAAAGTAGATAGCTCCAGTGGTTTATTTAAGGGGGTACATCAAAGGCAGGGATACGGTTTAAGGGTGGAGTCTTGCTTTGTGATGTCTTGCAGTCAGCAGGTCACACCTATCTCAGAGGGGCTGTGTGGGACCTGTAGCAGAGCTTGAATAGGGATCATAGTGAGTGAGGGCAGTCAACCAGAGGAAATGTCCACTGGTCATTCCCAGACACCAGATTCTCCTATTCAGTATGCTTTGGTGCAGAGCAGTTCACACACAGCCCATGGATGGCATGCGACGATATTCCATTCTATGGATGTACCATAGTTTGATGCTAAATGGTGTTGAATACATAGCCATATTATTTACAGTTCTGTATTTCAGAGATTGTGAATTTTGGGGGAGGTTGTACCACGGATTGAACTCAGGGGCACTTGACCATATCCCCAGCCCTAATTTGTATTTTATTTAAAAACAGGGTCTCATTAAGTTGCTTAGCACCTCACTTTTGCTGAGGCTTTGAACTTGTGATCACCCTGTCTCTACCTCCCTAGCTGCTGGGATTACAGACATGCGCTATAGCGCCCAGCTTAGAAAATGTGAATTTTTAAAAAATATTTTTAGGGTTTTCATTCATAGTCTTTGTATATGTTGATTCCTGGGGGAAAGTAGAAAATGTTTTATGAGGGACTGGGGTTGTGGCTCAGTGGTAGAGCACTTGGCTGGCATGTGTGAGGCCCTGGGTTCGATCCTTACCACCACATATAAATAAAGAAATAAAGTAAAAAATCCACTGGCAACTAAAAAAATTTTTTTTAAAAAGAAAGAAACTGCTTTATGAAGTTTCATTTTAAGCTCAAAAATCATATAACACAAGTTAAACATTTTTGTGATTTAGCCAATAAAACCATACCCAAGATCTATATATATAGAGAAAACTTTCTTCTAATAGAACTGCTTATATTATGCTAAATTGAATCATTAAAGAGTGCACTTTGAAATTTAGTCTGTTCACAGAAATATAATGTCGATCCTAGTTATAAAAAATATGATTCCTGCCTTGAGGTCTTTTCATAAATACATCATCATATCGGAGTATTTTCTGCTTGGTTTCCATGTGGTTATAGAGAAATCTACTCTGTAGAGAATCCTGCAGTGGAGGCTGGGTGGGTTAGTTGATTATTTGTTTATTCTTTTAAACAATTAACATGTAATTTTTGCTTTCTAAAACCTCTAATATTGTTTGGGTATGGCATATGGAAGTTGTAATTGAGATAAACTTCCCATATTAAATTATACCATTAATTTGATATTTTTTCTTTGAAGTGAGTTTAAAGCCTAGAAATTTTGATTCACCTTTTAACTCTTTGGATGTCTTCTTGATGTTATGTCCTTTCTTCCTTCTTCCCAGGGTACAGTTAATAAAGTGTCTTCTAGCCACATTGGCTGTTTGGTACATGGGTGTTTTAATGCCTCAATCCCTAAACCGGAACAGATGTCAGTTGAGCAGTGGCAAACCTTGGAGATAAACGTGGGTGATGAATTAGAATTTGAAGTATTTCGTTTAGACTCAGATGCTGCTGGAGTATTTTGCATTCGAGGAAAAATAAATATTGCCTGGTAAGTTCATATTTGAAACACAGTTAAAGTGGGAAACTCTATTGCTTTGATATATATTGAAAGTATTTTTTTCTTTTATTGTCCTTGATTTAACAATTCTGGGTTTAATGTTCAGTGGCCTAATTTTTCTGAACTGAACCAAACCAAAATTTGGAAGTCAATTTTTGACTTCTGAAGTAGTATAGAAACAAAGAATTAAACAATTAATAATGAAATTTATAAAGTTATAGTACAGTATTATTGCTATCAGCACTGAATTTAAGTTTTAATAGGCTACAGGATAAAAAAAGAGAGTATATGAAATTTACATCATAGTTATGTATCTTATGCTGCTTTCATTTAGGAAATTTTTACATACTGAGCTATCCTTGATATCATTTTGTTCCTTTATTTTTGCTTAGTGCTATTTATTGTTTTAATGTTTATTTATAGTTTGCAGTCCAAGCACCCTGATGTTTCTGAAGAAGTAACAGAAACTCTAACTGAAGAATCTGTTGAAAAAATTCCAAAGAAAAAGAAAAAGAAAAAGAAAGATCCAGAAATTTATGAAGTAAATGATGGTGCCACAGAGCCAGCAGATTTTACAGGTATCACTCCAAAGGAAGAGGAAGAGCTACAGGTTAGTAATGACATGAATGGCCTCTGTGAGGAAGAGCCAAAGAAGAAGAAGAAGAAGAAGAAGAAGAAGCACCAGGAAGATCAGGATCCTATTTTTCAGTGCAGTGACTCCAGTGGTTACCAAAGTGACCATAAAAAGAAAAAAAAGAAAAGAAAACATAGTGAAGAGGCTGAACTTACAGCAGTTCTGGAATGCTCACCTAAGAAGAAACAAAAAAGTAATTAGTGCATTTTAAATAGGATAGTTGATTAAGGATTTATACACAGTAGATGAGTACATGTTTTGAAAAATGTTTATATTGTACTGGGTGTGGTGGCACACATTTGTAGTCCCAACTACCCAGGAAGCTGAGAGGTCAGTCTGGGCAACTTAGTGAGACTTTTTCTCAAAAAGAGCTGGGGATGTAGCTCAGTGCTAGATAGTGCTCCTGGGTTTAATCCCCAGTACTATAAAATAAAAAGGCATATGGATACCAGTAATTTATAAAACAGGGAACACTTGATTAGGAATTGGAGGGTTTTTGTGCTAACTGGCAATAATTTGGATAGGACCCATGTTATTAAATTGCCATTTTATTGTAGACAGAATAAAATGATAAGAGCTACTCTCATTCTCAACTTTTATATTCTTCCAGATGTTAACTGTCCACATAAAATTTTCTTTGCATGCTGAAGATTAGCAGAAGTACTCTATAGTACAGTGTTATTGCTATCATTAAGGAACAAGTTTGGGATTTTCCCCTGCTCTAATAATAGGTGTCACCTTTAGTCATTTTATGCTATTTTGCTTATTTTGTTTTCTTTAATCATAGCTGTTAGTGTTTCTGTTGTTTAACTTAAAAAAATTATTTCCCAAAGGAGCTTCTGAAATCTCTAGAACCCTTGAGTACCATGCCACTGTTGACTGGTACATAACAGTATTTACTACACTCTCCTTTGAGGTGTATGTGTTTTAAATTCTGAAAATTGATGGAAAGTGCTCTTACCTTGTACTTATTTGTGCCTCACTTGTGTTGGAGGAAGAAAGTAGATGAAGATAGGATAAATACAATACTGACCAGTGGCAAATTTCTTGATTACTTTTTATTTGTTGGAGTTGGCCATAAGAATTGTTTTAAAGAGGAGATTAAGAAGATGTTGATGTTTTGTGACTTACTGGAAAACAGTAATGAAATGAGAACTGGTTGAGGCTGATAATCAGTATGTGTCTGTGCATTTATTTTGCCAGTGCTATAATGGAAAACAGGTAAATAAATGTAGTTCCTTCCCTCATGGAATGCCATAGGAGAAACAGATGCACACAAACAGTATTAGTAAGGAAATACAGAACATTACTAATTGTGTCAAATGCTATGATGCAAAAACCTGACCACTCCTATTACTTGTGTTAGTATCTGCAAACAGTCAAATGGTTCAGTTGACTCCTCCATGTCAGCCATTTTGTTGCCATTCTTCTAGTACCAGACATAGTGCTAGGCTCACAATTATCAATTTAAAAACTGATAATGAGTAAATTCTGCTAGTGAACTGTCTAATCTATAAGAATAAGATAGAGTTTGGCAAGTAACAGACAACTCACAATATGTTGTCTACAAGTAGATGTGCCAGCCAATGGAAACATGCAAGACAATGTCTTTCATTACAGTTGAGATGCATTAGCCCTTGAAATGTGACTAATCCAAATTGAAATATATTGTCAATATCAAATATATATCATCAAAATTGGGATGTAAACTATATCTATTTTTATATTAGTAAAATTAAAATATTTTTGGTTTAATGGGTTAAATAAAATGTTAATTTCAGCCTGTTTGCATTTTATTTTTCTACAAAGATTGCTTATGAGGCTCACATTGGTTTTGGACAATACTATTTGAAAGGAAATATTGGTTGAATGACATGATTCTAGAAGATCCAAAAATTCCATTAGAAAACTTCTGGAACTAATAAATGAATTCAGCAAAGTAGCAGGATATAAAATCAACACCCATAAATCAAATGCATTCCTATACATCAGTGATGAATCCACTGAGGAGAAATTAGGATTCACAATCACAATAGCCTCAAGTAAGTAAATAAATTAATTAAATAATGGGAATCAATGTAACAAAGAGGTGAAAGACCTCTAGAATGAAAACTACAGAACATTAGAGAAAGAAATACTACTGATGACACGATTCTATACCTAGAAGATCCAAAAATTCCACTAGAAAACTTCTAGAACTAAGAAATGAATTCAGCAAAGTTGAACAAGCTATGTTGTCGGGATTTAACGTAGTAACATACTCAAACTTCAATATATAGTTAGAATTGTTTGACAGTATAGAAAATTGTTAACAAAAGTTTTAATATCCTTCCACACACTCCAAGAAAAAGTTTATGTTGTTCATGGAAAAATATATTGTGGCTTAGCAAAATAAGCAAATTCCCACATTATAAAAGAATTTGTATCTTTGAGAAAAGAGGGATGGCCCCTGAGATTTACTATCCTAATCTTCATGATTAAAGATAAATTTTTCCCTCCATAATTTGGTTGCATTACATGTCACAACGGCTTTAACAAAGAGAGGCGATCTGGTTAGGCCTAGCCTAATCACATGAGCCCTTAAAATCAAAGTTTGTGAGATTAGAAACACAGAAGAATTTAATGGAAGGGAGAATCGTTTCTTTTACTGAACATGGAGAGGGCCATATGGCAAAGGCCTGAGGAGCTGAGAGCTACCCCTGGCCAACAGCAAGCAGGAAAACAGGGCACTATGTCTCTAAGGAATTGAATTCTGCTAATGATAAGAATGTGCCAGGAAACAGATATTTTTCAGAACTCTCAGGTAAGAATTCACCTAGCTAACACATTGATGTCAGTCTTAACGTCCTGAGTACCTACCTTGTTGGACATCTGATGGACAGAACTCTGAACTGCTAAATAGGTGCGTGGTGATTTGTCAGATAGCCATAAAAAACAAATATATAGTCATGCATTGCATAAGAATGTCTGATATATGGTTAAAATATTCTTTATGCATTTTCAAAACTATTGATTCATCTTTGCATATCTTCTAGATATACTTTAAAATGGATATTTGTCAAGCTAGAAAAAGCTCTTTGGGATTTTGATTGGAACTGCCCTAAATTGAGAGCTTAGTTAAGGGACAGTTAAATTCTGTAAAATACTTAAATTTTCCTAACCAATAAACACACAGAGTCTCTTCATTCAGTCTAGTCTATTACATCCTTAAGTAGCACTACATTTTTGCCAGTGTCTTTCTATATCTTAATTCCAGCAATTTTATAGCATTTCTTGCTTTTGTCAGTGGGATTTTTTTTTTAAACATAACATTTCCTAACTAGTTCTTACTGAAATATTACAGATTAATTTATTTCATATTAACCTTCTATCTGACCAGGCATGTCAAAATTCTATTTTATTGGCCCTCTCAAATCACCACTGGTTTTATTTACCATCTATTTTGGTTTATTTAAACTAAAAAAAAAACAAAAACATTTTTCTTGTTTTTGTTTTGTTAATTCCTACCTTTTATTAAATCCTATATTTTGTTTGTCCCCTTGCCACATTAGCTTAAGCTGAATTCTTAGTTCTCATTTAATTTCAATCTTTCTTATTTTAGTAATAGAATGATTTCTAAATGATACTGTAGTAATCTTATTGTTTCTAAATGTCTAGATACTCTGAAATTTCACCTGAGAATTATTATATCATGGAAGATTAAGTACATTGTTAAAGCTTATAAGAAGTCCTGCTATTTTTATTTCTATCTTTTGTTTCTAGATGTCTTGTGCAATGTAGCCTTCAAAGCTAAGCTCTTATTTCTTTTAGAAATTAAGATTTTTCTTTAGGGCCAGTACATGGTTTCTTTTTCTTCTTTTATGTTTTAAGTGCTTAAAAAGAATCTTTTAAAAATGTACAAAGCACTGTAGAAAAATAGATTTTATATACCATGCAGGAGGAGTAGCAACAAAAATGAAAAATACATAATTCTGCATCTAAATGATTCATAGAAAGTTAAACAGATGTTTAACTTAGTATATCATAGACTCCCTTTATGTAAAACAAAGATGGTAAAGTGTTTGGTCTATACTATTTTCTTTCCCAAACCTTTGCCTTGGCAATAATATATAACTTCATGGTATTGTTTTGTCTTCTACTTCTTTCAAGTAAATATTTGATACACTGGATTATCTTAAAGCCAGTTGCCTTTTCTCAGATGCTAAACCTGTTCCCACTTATTCTCATAGATTTGATTATTTGAATGTATTTGAACATTTTTAGTAAGGCAAAAATGTAATAAATTATAAAATTAGAGTAATTAAGAATAGAAGCAGAATCAACAAATATGCAACCAGGATTTCAATAGCAAATAAGCTACAGTCAGTATAGTTGTATGTAATTAGTTCCACATTCATTGGATATAATTAGAAAATGCTCCAGTACTTACTGATTCAAGGAAAAAGTGGGACAGATGAACTACCTTATAATTTTTTTGTCTTAGTAAACAGCTATAAATAGAAGGTAAAGGATCCATCAGAGATCATAATTTAGAATTTAAAATGAAAATGTAACAGTAAATATAAAATGACATAGAAATTTATGAGATTATGAGTAAGAAAAGAAACAGTTTTATGTGCCCAGTACATAAAAGAAGTTCCTGTTAATTCTACATCCCACCATATTTTGTTACAGTCTAATGTCTTTCAGATTTGGTTGTCTGTAGACCAGGCCACCAGTAAAACATAAGGTATCGAAAGCACCATATTTGGTATAAGTTTATTTATGAGTATGTGTAAAGGAGCCTGAAAGAATACTAACTATAATTAAACAAGAATATTTGAGTGCTCAGTGTTCTAAGATACTCATGGCCACATTTTTTTCATACCCAGATTTTTACTCATTACGTTTAAACTTTACATGTTAAATGACATTGACTTAGCCTCCCCCTCATGAAGTAGATTTAATTTGAGCAATTTTACTTACCTCTCTAGGCTCTGTTTATATACTTGTAAAAATGAACACTGAATTAGGATCTAGATGATCTAAAAGTTTCTTTGAATTGCAAAATCCTGAGTGTCATTGATACTGTTCACTATTGTAGGCATTTTATGTACTTGAAATCTCATTTCACTTACTGTGCTTGTATTAAAAACTGAAGAATGAGGTTATTTACCATACTTGTAAGCAAACAGGTTAGTCTCCTAGGTACAGGCAACTTGGATTATCTTTACATCAAGCATCATGTGCTTCTTGTTTTTGCTAGTAGTTCTTGACCCTCAAGTCCTATGGGGATAGTGTAGAGGCCCCAAGGTAGATGCCATGCATGAAGGGAGATTTTGTCACACCAGAGAAGCCCGTGCTTAAGGAGGCTTTCTCTTAGGCTTGGAGGTTTTAGACCATGGTTGGTCAATCCCGTTACTTTTGGGCTTGTTGTGAGCCAATATATCATGGTGTAGTGCAGAGAGGAGGAAGCTGCTCACTTTGTGGCAGCTGGGAAGTGAAAGAGGAAGAAGCCATGGTCCCACTATCCTCCTCAAGGGCATGAACCTCTGTGACCTAATTTTTTTCCACTAGGATCCACCTCTCGATCTAGTTAAAGGCTGGTATATAGGCCTTTGGGGGACACATATCCAAACCCCAATCATTTTTAACAGACTGCTACCATACCTACCCAAACTTTGCCCCAGAGAAATACATGTTACCCATTACACTGGACAATAAACAAACCTGGTTTGTATGCCTCTACTTTGCAGGGAGGGGACTATTTTTATTTTCCAAGACTATATTTGAAAGATTAGTAAGAACTAAAGTTGTGATTTGCCTCTGTTCACAAGATGTGCAGAAATGCAAGAGACTTAGACTGTTGTCTTCCTACATCATCACCTCATCTCAAAAGTTATTATCCTCTAATTCATACATATACCTCTATAGATTATTACTTTAGTGTATACTAATATAGAACTGTTTTCAACTTTAATATAAAATTTCACTAATTTTTATTTTATGGGCTTATTGTACAGCTTCAAGTTGCTTAGTTTTTTTTCTTATTTTAAAATATGTGTACATTGAAATAAACTTGTACTACATATAAACATACAAGCATATGTTTGTACACAAACTAGTGGATATATGCTAATTTTTTTAACACCTTTTTTTCTTAGAAATTAACTCTCTTCTACTACATACATTCCATATGAGACTATGAAATACTTGGACCCCTTGGAGCTCCATGTGATCCCCCTCATCCTTTGAAATCATGAATATTGAAATAACCCAGTCATTAAATAGCTAGCAGGAAAACAGTAATAATGTTGACACTGTAAGTAGATTATATACTTATGAATCATTCAACTGCCATGAGAATGGACCTCATAGAATTTCAAAACAAGAAGTTTAATTAGCTTTGGATCCTAGCTGCTACACTCAGACATCCATCCTGCATTTGCATCAGCACTATGCCTCCTACTGTTGCTCTAGCCAATGTTAGCATGTAACACAGACATCAGGCATACCCATTCCTGGGAGTCACAGGACTCTGATGACCATCTTGAATTGAGGAATGCCCATGGCCCTGCCTCAAACCTGTACATTACACAGCAACCTAGAATGCTTCCCTCTAATCTTTTCCTTCTGTATTTCCTTGTGGATCACGCCTAGACTATGGCCTGAAAACTGAAAACTTACCTTCCAGGTCCCTTCAAATTTTCTGTCACAGATATTTTGGCTAATAAAATCCTTGCATGTTTAATTATGCTTCTTAGAGGACCTAACAGACTTCTAACTGCTAGTAGGATCTAGATGTGATGGTCATAACTGTTTTGGCTTTCATATGGAATAAACCTTTTAAGTACCAGGAAAATAGAGGACAAAAGAGCCAGAAAAAAAAAAATTGAAGTTAACTGGTAATAATAGTATTTTTTGAATTTTTGTGATCAATCTGAAGCCTGAACCATCTTGATTTCAGTGGGTCAAAAACCAAAAAAATCCTTTCCTCACCTTTATGAGAGAAGAAATCATGTAACTCCCTCCATGAGAACAGGAGAGGTATTAATAATGCCTCTGAATCCCAGAACTGGGAGACTGCTGGTAACATAGTAAGCACTGAATACCTATTTGTTGAATAAGTGAAAGTATAAATGCGCCAATTCTTCTTGTAGTCACTTTAAGGCTGAATTATTACAAAGGACATCGTAGGACTATGTATACTCCTTTAGTCCAAGAGTTAAGTGGACAGACTATTTGCCCTGTTCCCTTTGAAATGAAGGCAAAGGGTCTGAGTAAACCACCCTTAGATTCCATGATTAGAAAAGAGCTCTAATCATACTTGCCAATAATATATAACATTTTGTTTTGCTTTTTTTTTTCAGAGTCAAATTTGCTTGTACCATCAAATTAACATTTCCACCTGGACAGTCTCTGTTGGAGCAAACAAGAATTTCACACACATATACAAAACATACAGTTAGCCCTTTCTCCATAATCTCACATTTTGATTTAGAATTTTTCACAACAAATAAAACTTATTGGAACTTAAACAAGCATTCAAGCAAGCATGGACATGAGAGTTGTTATAAAAATTTTGGTGTGTCATAGAAATTCTGGGACAAGATTGTGACTTCTAAGATTATAACTTCTAAGATGAGAAGTTACTGGAAAGCAGTAAGAGCTTCTCAATCACCCATAGGCACTCCTTGCAGTGATTCTACAGGCCCAGCTTGATGGAGACCGATTATTTGGTTCTCCATCTCAATAGAAAATTCTCAGAAAATCTGGGATAGTTTGGGAATAGTATCTACCCATGGTATTACTAACATGACTGCCTAACACACAGGATTTTTGAAGGAGGAGTTAAGAGAAATGTTCAACAAAAGGAGGGATCCTTTATTACCTAATACACTTAAAAAGGTGACTTGTACTCCAGGTACCTGACGAACATAACATTGTCATCCTAATAAACTTTTTGTTTTCTTTGAATTTTTCCTGATAAAATTCTTACCAAGTTACATCCTTTAGTGTAAAAAATGGGAGTATCTACATTGTTGTGAATGGAGGATTATTCTGAGGTGTGTATTAGTGTCTGAATCTATTAGCAAATTTCAAGAGATTGCTAATGTTTTGGTCAGGTGGGGAACATGAACTTGGAGAAGATGTATGCTGTGTTTTTTATAATCCAGAGGTAATATGCCTGGGTTTCCACAAGGGGTCCTAGGTGGTAGGGATTTGGAGAAGCATTTATAAAATTATCTACTAGTTCTGATACTAGAAATTTTTATTTTATTGTCTGAAATGTTCCGCTAGTCAGTTTTCTCCTTTCAAAAATCAATTTTTAAAAACTAGAAAGGAAACTATTTAGTTTTTACATCATTCATTAGCCCTGGGGCAGCGGAATTTCAGTCCTCCTATTCAATTGTTTGAATTAACCCAAAGACTATAGCGTCCCTGGCCAGTGCAGTGTGTGTTATTCCATGCAAGAAAAATAAGCTATGCTGCCAAAATGCCAGCAGATTAAGGAAAAGCCAAGAGAGGCATTGTTTTCACCCAGCCAAATATTGGAGCACCTATATATATATTTTACCAATCCACGTATGACAGAGACATATTATGTGCTCATAGCGTCCCTGTGGCCTCTGCTTCTGAATTTGAATTTAACTTATTTCAAAATATGAATAAACTTGTACTGGCAACACATTCAAATTGTGAAAACTTCTTGGTCTCTAACATGAATACTTCAGAGGCCAATTAGGGCTACAGATGACAGGAGGAGGGAGGGGCAAAGGAAGGAAAGGCTATTCCCAATTTTATTTTTGACTCCATCCCCTTAAAAGTGATTATATAATGAGATGTAACATTTTAACATGTATTTTCTATGTACATATTTTCAATATATCCTAATAGTTGTAAGAACATCACTCAGAATTTACAGAAAAAAAACCTGAAGTACTACATTCCAAAGTGGAGTCTGAACTTTTTTTTTAACAAATAGAGTTTATATACCAAAACAAATCATACAAGTGATTTCTACAAATCAGGTCTCTAACAATTTTTCTTTTAGACATCTTTATAATACCAATAAAATTGAAAGACTTGCATTTAATTTACCATGTCATGAATTTTTTTATCTAGAATTCTTTTAATTTTGTATTTAGTCTATATAACCTATTGATATCACATGATTTAAAATAAGACCCAAATTTAGCTGTCTCTGGTGGCCCTAAGTAATTTTGTAAGTAGAATGTGAATGTACTCTCACATTAAAAAGCACTTTGCTTTGTTGTCCTTAGTTTTTTATTTTTTTCTCTACAGACCTTCATTCATGAGACTATTATTTATTGGTTTATGTATAATTGTCAAACTTCAAATTGGGTACTAGAATTTTATAGAGGAAAAATCAAAATAAAATTACCTATCAGCAGAGGGTATATTTCAGTGGCAGGAAAAATAAATAAAAAAAATAGTATGCTAGATGATGATAAATGTTATGGAGAAAAATAAGACTTGAGTGCGTGTCAGTATGACAAAGTAACTCACTGTTGAAATTTTTAAAAGGGCAGTGAAAAAAGTTCTCCCTAGAAAATGAAATTAGAGGAAACCCTTGAAAGATGGACACTAAAGGGCCGGAATTTCAGGGTGAGGGTGGGAGGAGGAGTCTGGATTTCAGAATGTTGTCTGCAAGGATAATTTTGTAGCTGGAGCTAACTGATAAAGGTAAAGATGGGACACAATGACTTTAGACATATCATTTTATGTCTAACTTTAAAATGGTTTTACCAATAATCTGAAGAAATTACTTTCATGGAATTAATGGGTTTGCTTAGTAATTTGACTTATGCCAGTTATATCAAGGATAACTGACAACTTAAAACAACATTAAAATTTTTTTTTTTTAGTTTGCATGTGAAATGTTTCTTACTTTACCTTTTTTTTCCTTGTGAACACATACTGTATAATATAGGAATGCAAATGAAGTTCTGAAAAAAAGCATTAAGCAAAAGTTAGGCTTTTAAAATTGTGTAAACACATTAACTAACACCTTACTGAAGATTCGACTGCAGGATGCGTGGTTTAACCTCATGACCTTGGCTTGCCTATGAAAACCAAATGGTGGGCTGGTGGAACATACTCTGAAGATAGAAAATATCAATTTGTGATCCAGCAGTTCTGTCTTATAAGTTTTTATAAAGTATATTTATGGATTTTTGACTGTGTATGCCATAATTAGATCAAATAACATTCATGTTTGACAGATGATATAGTAGCTTCCAGATGTTAATTTTAGGTTATTTTATCTTCAAGTACATTTAAATTATTGATTCCAGGTGTGCTTTCTTCGTATATTTAGACATATATAATACTCAAATTTATAAAAATAACTAGTTTGATACTTTACTTTTACATATGGTTATCTGACTTAATTGCATATGGTAGTAAGTATGTGATTTAAAGTCTACACAGATAAGTGGTAAGAAAAATATACTTCAGTTATAACTAGAAATGATAGGCCACTCTTCTCGTTTGTATCATCTGTCTCAGTTTTTCATTGCTATAATATACCTGAGGCAGGCTAGTCTGAAGAAAGAGGTTTACTTAGCTCACAGTTTTGGAGACCAAGAGTCCTGAATCAGGTAGCCCCATTGCTTCAGCCTCTGACATGATCTAATGGTAGATGGCATTACAGTGGAAGTGCGTGCAAGAGGAAGAAATCATATTGCTAACCAGAAGCCAGAGAGCAATCTGGGTTTAGACTCATTCTTAACAAAAACTTTTTTTTTATAAGAACTTACTCTAGGTGACCAGCATTCTCTTTCAAGGCAGCAACCCCCTTTCAGGACGTTTCACTAGGCCCTACTCTTAAAGATTCTATCACTTCTCACATGGCCATACTGGAGATCAACTCTCCCAACACATTAACCTTTTTGAAGAGAAACCACATCCAAACCATAGCACCTTTAACCTGGCTCACAGTCTAGTAAGGTTAACCCTTGTGTCATACAACTACATTTTTTAGCCATTGATTTGGTCAGAATGGACAATGACCCAAACTGTAATAATCAGAATCTCTTTTCAAGAAACTTGAAATCTGTAAAAAATCCTAAAATAGCTTATTATATTGGAAACTGTAGCTCTAAATTCACAGTGGAAATAATGTCAGAAAAGTAGCAAGCCAGATTCTGGTATAAGTTAAAATTATTACCAAGTAAAACTAGGTCTTAGTAAAGAGAGAGTCTTCTGTGAGTAGATAACTGATGATATAGCTCCAGAAAGATAGAGTTTGAGAGACTAGCTGCCAGCCAGGTATCTACTACGTATCTACTACATGTAAAGCCTGTCCTGTCATTGACAGAATACTTGGGACAATAAAGGGAAGATATACCTTATTTTGGCTCCATTGTTTTGCAGTCTGTGTTGAAGCTGGACATCATAGTAGAGAGCATAGTAGAGCAAAGTTACTTACCTCATGGTAGCCAGAAAGTGAGAAAAAAGGAATGATCTGGGATACCAGTAGTCTTTCATAAGCATGCCCCTAATGGTCCCAATTCTACTAGGCTCCACATTCTAAATGGTCCACCATTTCTAATAGAACCATCAGCTAAGGACCAAGACTTCAATACATGAACCTTTGGGTGACATTTTAAGATCCAAACCATTCCACACATGGCTCCCAATTATTCTTCTCCATCTCTAAAATTCCCTAATGTCTTAGCAATTCAAACATTTGCTCAAAAGTCCAAAGTCTCCTCTGAGAGTCAAGGTAAACTCAATGGTGAGCCCCTCTTAAAAAAAAATTAAAACACTTCCAAGATAAAATGGTACAGAGTAACTATTCCCATCCCAAATGGGGAAGAACAGAGCTAGACAAAGGAATGAAATGGTCATCACAAGATAGAAACCAAGCACAGCAAATATTAAATTCTATAGTTCCATGTCCAGCTTCTGGAGCACACTGTGGACTGATGTGGGCTTCAAAGGGCTTGGGAAGCCCTGCTCCTATGGCCTTCCAAGCTACAGTCCACAAGGCCTCTCAGCATGGCTCTGCTCACTGTCAGAAGTGTCCCTCAACAAGTGCTCCATCCTTTCTTGGCTTCTCCTAACTTCCTGTGACCTCCATCACAACTTCAGCATCACAATTGACCCTGTCAGGGGATGCTTGCAAGGATTCTGATTCTGCCAAAAACTTCCTGGCCTCTCCCAGCTTTCCTTGGTCAAAACCTCCATTGCCCAAACATGTTGAATTCTACATGTTTGCAAAAGTAGTATCAAGTGGATGATGCTCAAGTCTGCTGCTGATCTGAGCTATATCTGCACTACTCAAACCATGGCTGCAGAGACCTGAGTCCCTTGATAATTGAAAACTGGAAATGAATCACAGGGAAACAATTATCTAGGTGGCCCTGTGTAAAGAAGCCATCCTGGGACTCTTCTCAAGTAAATCTCTATAAGAAGTACACTCTTGAAATTTGAGGATTCCAAACATGCCCTGAAGGTATATTTCCTATTGTTCTGGTACTAAATATTTGGCTTCTTTTTTAAAGGTATTAATAACCTTACCCTCCGTGGCTGCAATTTTAAACATGCTTCTTTTCTGCCCACTATAAAGTTTTAAAAATCTTTCCACTCTGCCTTTTGCTCTTGGTTCTCACTGTATACCTAGCTAAATGTAGCTTGCACTATTCATGTAACTGCCTAAATGCTGTGCTGCCTTAAAATTTCCTCCACAAGATAAACTAGTCTGTTCCTTTCAATTCAACTTCTCATAAAGTCACAGAACATGGACAAAATGCAGACAATTTTTTTTGCCAGAATGTACATGTCTCACCACTAGTCCAAATCCCAATGGAGTTCTCATTTCCTCCTAAAAACACTTCAGCATAGCCTTTCCTGTCTACATTCCTAGCTGCATTCTGGTCTTCAGAGCCCTCACCAGAGTCACCCATTAATCTCTGTTTACTAGATCACATTTCCAGGTATAG